CCCCCCCAAGAAAATTTCATACAGTGTGCGCACTTGCACACACGGTGGCTTAAAGTCTTAAAACTGTTTATTGTACTAATAATTAAAGGGTTTTTATTGACTGGGATTTAAATAACTCGGACTGGGACTTCTAATAAAAATCCAACTGGGACTGTGATTTTGCCAAAATTTCAGGTGGGAAATGGGATTGGGACCCCCCTTCAGGACCCTCTTTAGCCGATTCTTTCGCAGTTTCTTTCTGAGAGCTTTTGAAATTTACCAAATCTTGCAGAAATGCGAGCAAAAATGAAATATATTTGCAAGAAATTTATCAATCATCAAAAATAAAGAAATGTTTACTATTTCGCTGTCGTCATGCAGTCGTTATAATGCAAACTTTAAATTGGACCAATCAGTGTCCGCTATTCATGACAGTCCGCCATCATTTTGAGATCAGTGAGGATGACCACCCACCCCAAAAAATCGTTGGTGACCCACGCCCGCGATAATTGATGAACTTTAGACTTCGCTAATGCTTTCGTTTCCCCGGGTGTAAATAGCTGGGGGGAATTTGTACCCTCGCGCGGCATTCGCGCCGTCGGCTCGGGGACTAGTCTTCCTAAATATATAGATGAACTCAAATTATTCATGAAAGAAATATCTTTCGACATAATTTGCATTAACGAAACTAGACTAGACAATACTATAACCGATAACATTATTGGGCTATCAGGTTATGACATTATAAGATGAGACCGAGATCGCAATGGTGGTGGGGTTGCAATCTATATGAAAAGTACTATGAATTATATAAATCATACTGAATTTATTCCAGACAACCTAGAATCTATCTGTGTCGAAATTTAAAAACCTATAAGGCTAAACCGATTCTAGCCATTACATGGTATCGCCCGCCCAATTCAGATATTAATTTTTGAATGACTTTGAAAAGCTTTTACAGGAAATAAGCGATAAAAATGTAGATCTTATTACTACTGGCGATCTAAATTGCGTTATGATTGCCACTAGTCCCACACAATATACTAAAAAATTGTCAGACTTAATAAATGAAGATCAATTAAAGCAGCACATCAAGAGTCCGGCAAGAATAACGCCGACAACTAAAACATTAATTGATGTAATAGCCTAATAACTAAAGCAAGCGATATAAAAATAATTGATTCTGGAGTAACATTTAGGTATAAGCGACCATATTTTAGTATATATTTGTCGGAAGGTTGGCATACCAAAGTCTGAACCATAACTGGTTGAGACAAGGCAGTTTAAATACTTTGACTCTACTGCATTCCAACGCGACTTAAGAATGGCTTTTCATAAACACCTTAACTCTTATAATTTTTCCAACCCAAACCATGCGTGGGGAGTATGGAAAACTATTTTTCTTGATATTGCAAACTTAAATGCACCACTTCGACTTCGGAGAGTCAAAAGTGAACACTGCATGTCCTTGGATGACAAATAATATTAAAAACCTTGCATACCATAAATACTACTTAAAACAAAAAGCAATTAAATTGAACTCTTCTAATAACCAAGAAGCTTATAAACGTTGTAGAAACGAACTTAATGAAGTAATTAAAGCAACTATAGGCCTGATGCTACAACACTAATTATAAACTCCAAAACAGTAAAACTAGTAAATAGGGTTTGAATACATTAAATAATCTTTTAAATAGGCAATCCAAAGCCACAACTGTCAATGAACTTAATACAGGTCAGCGAAATAAGATAACAGATAACAAAGACATAGTTGACGAATTCAACAAGTTTTTCACGTCCATAGGTCCTAATATGGCTAATAATATCACTGATAGTGACACTAGTCCACATCCTCTGTCATACATGAATCATTCTACAAATACTTTTAGCTTTGAAAATACATCAATTCATGATATAAAGAGAGAAATTAAAAATTTGGAAATTATTTTTACTATTTGTAAAATTTTTCATTTTTTTAAAAATAAAGTGATGAAAAATTAAAAATAAAAAAACAAAAATAAAAAATAAATAAAAATAAAAAATAAAAATAAATAATAAAAAATAAAAGAATGTAAATTTATTTTTCAAGAAAAAGCAAACGCGAATAAATTAGTTTTAAAATAATTAAAAAACAAAAGCAAATTGAAAATGCTCCATGGCCTAGAATTGCCACAATATACCATGATGCTCAGCGCGCGTTCTATTTTGCTTCCCGCCCAAGATTAAAATCCAATATATATGGCGGGCAATTATTTTCGAAACGATGCTTGGAAAGAAGACGAGGAACTGTAAGAGAAACTAGTAGCTTATGTGAACCAAGGTATTCAGCGGTTAGAGATCCTCGATTTTATGATGCGAAGCTTTAATCAGTATACTTGGACCTTGAGAACCTTGTGTCGAAGATAGGCATGGCCCGATTGTGCTCGGCAACTTTTGAGCAACTTTTTGCGTTTGGAGCAACTTTTTTCAGTTCGAGCAACTTGAAGCAACTTTTTCGTTTTTGAGCGATTTCTGAGAAACTTTTAGGCTTTTTACTAAAATTAAAACTATACAGCTTGAAATATTGAAATGTTTACAACTTCATTTTCTGCGATATATTTCTGTGCACATTCTGTATCAGTACAGCGTAATACATGATGTCCACAGGCTCAATTAAATATTCTATGTAATATGCTGTAAATAATACACCCTTGAATGCATGCTGCTTCCTTGCTTTCCCTTGTTATTTGCTTGCTAGGGGACTAGGGTTGCTGTGTGCTCTTGAAAACAAAATGGCGGCTTATAAATATACATAAGTGCTAATTTTATTATGACCAATTTGAAGGAGCTGTCAGATTCGACAAATTTATTAGAGGACGAAAATGTAGAAGAAGATCCAGTTGTGGTAGCAGAAAATGCTGGTGCAACATTTCGTACACCAGCAGGAGCAGCCATTGCACGTAAACGAAAGCTTCCTACCAACAAAGGGAAGTATATTAAGCAGAGAGGAAGTAAAACACCTGCTGCTACAAGTGCCTCTTGTTAATTACAAGAAGTTCATCCGAGCGTGCAAAAATTGTATAAATCTCTTGATTAACATAATACGTACGGGCAACTTTTTGAATTTTAGTAGCAACTTTTTTCTATTTGGGCAACTTTTGAGCAACTTTTATGCTTTTTAGCGAGCAACTTTCTTGTTTTAGCGAGCAACCTTATGGGATTTTACGAGCACAATCGGGCCATGCCTAGTCGACGATTCATTTTGGAATCAGTTACCCGGACTCGGGGATGACCTTGAACGTGATAAAAGAAGCAGTCCGGAAAGAATTAGATGGTCCCGGTAAACAGTTGGGTTACCGAGCAGTGAATCAGAAAATAAGACAAGAACACGAGCTAAATGCCGCGAGATGTTGTGTACGCAACTATGAATGAACTAGATCAAGCTGGTTTGGAAGGTGGATCTCTTGGATCAAAGAAAAAAAGAAGGGCATTTTGCGACTAAAGGTGTTGATTGGGTACATTGTCTCGATGGACACTGTAAATTAATGGGATACCAGCGATTCACCTTTCCACTTGCCGTATATGGTTGTCTGAACACAGCAAGTAGGAGGTTGCTTTGGTTGCGAGTATGGACAGATAATTGTGACGCTAAACTAGTTGCTCATTGGTATTTCGACTATTTTTATGATCGTAGCCTGCGAACAGGCCCTCCTTGGTTACGGGCGGCGCGAAGAAAGGAGGGCCTGCACGGAACTATAGGTTTTCTTGGTAGTGGCGTTCGTATAGAAACGCAGGCTTCTGATTGGCTTACACTCGTTGACAAAATTACTAAAAATAGCAAATGTCAACAACAGCATTTTGAACTTTTATATTATAAGACTATCGAACAACATAAAACTAGAAATGGAAACTAAAGGAAAAGCAAAGCATCACAGCAAAAACGTCTATCATAAATGACTTGAATCTATCGCTTAAATCCAATACACGAAACTATAATAGTTATCTGAACTTCGTCTTCGGATTGACATCAGACTATAGTATAGTACATTTTGAGGTCGTCGTGGCTTCACGGATTATTCTCACTAGTGAGCAAGTCAGCAAGCGAAGGCATACAAAAGATACCCAAATATGTACGAATAATTATATTGTTGATCCTCTCTGGCATGTCATTTAGATATAAATATATATCGTACATTAAACGTTGTACTATTTATTGAATACTGTATAAACTGCTGACAATTTCGTCGTCGATAGGCTTCCACTATTGGCACACTCGTGATTTCGAAGAAATTAATAAATACATGATCATTTATCATTTATTTAGACCACAGTTAGTAAAATTTTAGACGTATTCGGTATTCCAAATCCCAATGTATCTGACCGTATTTTAGTAATAGCTTCAAATATTTCGAACATCGCTCTTTCAGTCGCACATAAGTATTACTGTACATTCAATGCCAATGCTAGTATTTTATTCGGCTTTATATTTAATTTGCATGTTTATTGATAGCTATTATCTGGAGAATTCCATATTTCCGAGTAATACAGGGTGTCCCAAAAAAAACGAAAACTATTGAAATCACCAATAACAATTTAATTGTTAGAATTTGAATGCCTTAGCGCTCTGTTGGTTCCCACGAGTGCATAAATGATTGACATAAGTAAATGTTATGCATAAAGAAACTGTTTAAGAAGCTGTTTTTAATTCCCAGGAGCAGAAAATCGCGCACTTTACCAGGAGATATTCCTAACTAAATTCTAATACATGCACCTTGTCAATATTTTACGCATCATTACGTCCAGCTGTTTGGTAGGGCATTCAAATTTAACAATAAGTGATTTCAATAGTTTTCGTTTTTTTGGGACACCCTGTATATATATATATATATATATATATATATATATATATATATATATATATATATATATATATATATATATATATATATATATATATATATATATTGTGCGGCCAGCTAATGCTTCGTATTATTGTTCATATATACATTATATTTCTTCGTTGCACAATGTACGTACACGCCTTGCGTCAATTTGACAGTTGACAGTTTTTTTATCGCAGTCGACGCTGATTGGTTCGCGTTTAGCAGATGCGAAAAGCGGATGATTGAATAAAACACATGGTTCCGTGCAGGATCACCTTTTTCCCAGTGAGCCTGTTCGCAGGCTAGTATGATCGAAGGGTTATAGCATCGATAATAAGGGTAGACAAGGGTACGGAAACTGGTGATATGGCAACTTTACATGCATATCTGAGAAGGAATCATGGTGATGTTAATCCTGAAGATACTGTAGTTTATGGCAAATCTACATCGAATCAAGTAATCAATTTGTTAGCAAATGATAGTGGTTGTCGCCTGTAAAATTTTGCCAGAATATTAAAGAGAAACGTCAACGTAAGACTGCAACGCTGAACAAAAGAAGTGAACTTATGTCGGAATGTAGACATTCAAAGAAATTTTTATTGGACAATGCAATTACTTAGTTAGAATGATGAACTATAGCTTTTACCACTTAGCATATAAACAATATCTTAATCCATCCGTGAAACAATACAACAATGAACATATAATGTAGAGACAATGAACCCATATAGTACGTAGATTTTATACAAGTTCAATATGACTTTTTAGCATTTTAAATTTATTGTAATTTGTTTATCAATGAACTTGCCATGTAATCGAACATCTTCGATCGGCATTCGCCTGACGATTGCATCAGTAGAAGCATGAAACTCAGAGTAGCAATTAAATGTTTTTAAACAAAGAAGTCTCTCTTAACTCTATATACCGGGTGTCCCAAAAAAAGTACTCCTGTTTGATTCGTAATAACTTCTAAACAAGTAAAGCTTTTAAAGCGAAATAACTTGAATCAAATTGAGAAAGGACTAACTTAGATTTTGATATATTACAGTTGTATTTCACTTAAAAATTCACGGAGAAATAATCTTTAAAATTGGGAGCATATTTCTGGATGTGTCTGAAATATGCAAAAAACGGCGTATCAAATATTAATCAAGATTTGCCCGACTGAAACATGCACTATTACCAGTAAATAAATGACACTTGACAAATTGTTTATTATGAAACAAAGTATTATTATATCTACAAAATACAAGCAAGATTTATTCGCCCGAAATTCGCGTGTGCTCCTACCACGAATACGTTTCCTTATTTCATGAGACCACTGCATCGCGAAGGATAGTCATGGATCGTTCGTAGCTGTGAATTAGGGCATGCTGTCACAATGGAATTGTGAAGCTCTTCTAACTTCTGCAACGTTCTGAAATCTAGTTAAGAACACCCAAACTCTTTTGCCTTTTCTTAATCTTGGCAAGTTCAGAGTAAACTGAGAATTATATGAAACACAATCAAACCATATAACTCCATAAGACATAACAATTAAGCAACTCCCCCGAGACATGCAACATTTTTGGAACAAAACGTAACAAAATAGTAGCGTTGATACGGTGATGTGTATTTGCAAAAAGCAATATTATTTCCTTCAATAAAGAATAATATTCATCCTGCTCTAACCGAGAAATAATCAACTGAGTCTGTTTGAACCCATTAAAAACATAAAAAAATTAGGCTACTTAATTTAAGAAAAATTTAATC